TCCTGATATATTGATAGTTGACCTACATTATCCTGATATATTGATAGTTGACCTACATTATCCTGATATATTGATAGTTCACCTACATTATCCTGATATATCGATAGTTGACCTACATTATCCTGATATATTGATTGTTGACCTACATTATTCTGATATATTGATAGTTGACCTACATTATCCTGATATATTGATAGTTGACCTACATTATCCTGATATATTGATAGTTGACCTACATTATCCTGATATATTGATAGTTCACCTACATTATCCTGATATATTGATAGTTGACCTACATTATCCTTAAGTATAAATGGTTGACCTATATAGTGATAATAATGTGTAGATAGTTGACCTACATTGCCATAATGTGTAGATAATTGACCTACATTACCATGATGTGTAGATGGTTGACCTACATTAGCATATTGTGTAGATGGTTGACCTACATTATCCTGATATATCGATAGTTGACTTACATTATCCTGATATATTGATAGTTGACCTACATTATCCTGATATATTGATAGTTGACCTACATTATCCTGATATATTGATAGTTCACCTACATTATCCTGATATATCGATAGTTGACCTACATTATCCTGATATATCGATAGTTGACCTACATTATCCTGATATATTGATTGTTGACCTACATTATTCTGATATATTGATAGTTGACCTACATTATCCTGATATATTGATAGTTGACCTACATTATCCTGATATATTGATAGTTCACCTACATTATCCTGATATATTGATAGTTCACCTACATTATCCTGATATATTGATAGTTGACCTACATTATCCTGATATATTGATAGTTCACCTACATTATTCTGATATATTGATAGTTGACCTACATTATCCTGATATATTGATAGTTGACCTACATTATCCTGATATATTGATAGTTCACCTACATTATCCTGATATATTGATAGTTGACCTACATTATCCTTAAGTATAAATGGTTGACCTATATAGTGATAATAATGTGTAGATAGTTGACCTACATTGCCATAATGTGTAGATAATTGACCTACATTACCATGATGTGTAGATGGTTGACCTACATTATCCTGATATATCGATAGTTGACCTACATTATCCTGATATATTGATAGTTGACCTACATTATCCTGATATATTGATAGTTGACCTACATTATCCTGATATATCGATAGTTGACCTACATTATCCTGATATATTGATAGTTGACCTACATTATCCTGATATATTGATAGTTGACCTACATTATCCTGATATATTGATAGTTGACCTACATTATCCTGATATATCGATAGTTATGTGGATAATGTGGATAATTGAATTAAATTTTTTTAACCAGTGCATGTGTTAACCTGTGTAAATCTAACATTTGATTCGTTGGTAATTTTTCACAACTGATATTTCTTAGTTTATTAATCTACCGTTTTATAGGACTGGTTATCTGCTATCATATGTATCAATTCACCATTCGATCTGGGCTACTATATTAACGTATGGTTTAATCTGTGGGTTTGGTGCTGGTATAGGATATGTCACTTCATTAGATTTAATCTCCAGGGTAGGTATATAAATGTGTCGACAGTATTATATATGAAATTATGTCAAAATTACCTTTTTAAGGAGAATGATTGCCATTGATTAAAGTAAGAACCGGATGTATGTGTTCGAATTTCATTTTTAATGCCATGGTATAGTATATCATTTTGTTATTTTCCGACCAGGTGGGTTCTTTAAAGTAACGGTTTGCAAATTGTTTTTTTCAACTTCTGACGATACGATGTAATCCGACAAATCTGACTCTACCCAGTTCCGTCACACGGACGTCATAATAAAAGGATGTGATATCGTCACGGGTAAGGCCAAATATTTAGTGTAATTTATCTTGTGGGATAAACCGGATCAGAATCAGATTGGGTCGCTACTTGGGCCATATTA